AGTATCCCCTTGTTCTGTCTGAACAACTGCCTCTTGGTCTATGTACAGGTTCCTCATGAGCACAATTAAGTGTTCTAGAATTCCTATTCTTCATGATCTCTAAAATTTGTTATGATCCACACAGTCAAATGTCTTTGCATGTTCAGTAAAACATAGCTAAATATCTTTCTGGTATTCTCTGCTTTCAGCCAAGATCCATCTGACATCAGCAATGATATCCCTTGTTCCACATCCTCTTCTGAATAGGCTTGAATTTCTGGTACTTCCCTGTTGATGTACTGTTGCAACCCTTTTTGTATTATTTTCAGCAAAATTTTATTTGCAAGTGATATTAATTATATTTTTCAATAATTCCTGCATTCCGTTGGATAACCTTTCTTTAGAATGGGCACTATATTGCAGTGAATTACTTAATATGGCCCTTCTAGCCATAATCTTTGTAACTTCTACAAAATGACTAGGTGGGACTACGCAAATGAGGTGTTTGTGGCCCAGCAAGGGGACTGTATAGCTCGCTAATAATGTAAATAAGGTGCATAGCATTCTTGTGAGGGTAGGACCATGCAAATAAGGTATATGGAGCCCTAATGAGGGAATTGGCCAGCTTTGCCAACCTGCTAGGCTTAAAATGAGACATCCCAGGGGTGGCAAAGGGGGGGGGGGTTGCTGCCACTGAGAAAGAAGAGCCAGGTTCAGAGTGCATGCTGTAGACCTGGGATCCTTACACTAAGAACTTCCTAGATCCAGGAAACAGAGTGAGAGAGCTATAATACTGGAGACAAGAGACAGCAAGAAATAGCAGCAGACAAAATGGCAACAGCAGAACCAGGAGACTGGCAGGAGATGGTGTGGTGGGCTTCCCAGCCCAGAAAGCCAGAGCTGAGGATCTTCAGGCCAAGGCTTACTGGCAGAGTGGGGTACCTCTGGGCACTTATCAGCTGAGCTAAAAGAGATTTCTAACACTTGCCCAAGCAGGGCAGAGGCCAGGCCGAGGGGCTGACAGGCAAAGAGAGACCTGCCTTTGGGCACAGCTCAAGGTAGGCTGTCCTGATAAAAAAAAAAATTAAAAAAAAAAAACTGTATGCTGAGTGTTCTTGAAACTGATTGTAACCTCTTACTTTCCTAATAAGCCCCATAGCTTGAGTATGGTCTGTGAATTCTACCTGGCCATTGCAGTGAATTATCAAACCCAGCAGAGAAGTAGAGAGTGCCAAGGGAGGAACAGTTGGTGTCAGAATTGGTATATAAAAAAAAAATTTGGAGGGTGGAGGCATGTCTGACCTTCGATTCATCAGCCTTGATCTGTTGATGCAGATAATGATTCTCTCTTCCCCTTGTGAAATTAGACAAGGAGGTCAGATGCCTCCACCCCCATGCCATGTTTATAGGCATAAATATGAATCTCTTTCAGTCAGTTGGCCTGTCTTCCAAATTTCTTGGCTTAGGTGAGTGAATGCTTCCAGGGTTGCCTCTGTTCATTGAAACATCTCAATGAGTATCTGTCAATTCATGGAGCCTTGTTTTCAGCCAGTTCCTTCAGAACAGCTTGGACTTCTTCCTCCAATACCTTTGATTCTTGATCATATGCTACCTCCTGAAATGGGTGAAGATTGACAAATTCTTTTTAGTACAGTGAGTCTGTGTATTCCTTCCATCTTCTTTTGATGCTCCCTGCACTGTTCAATACTTTGCCTGTAGAATCCTTCAGTATCACAACAGAATGCTTGAATTTCATCTTCAGTTTTTTCAGCTTGAGAAATGCCAAGTGTGTTCTTCCCCTTTGATTTTCCAACTCCTGCTCTTTGCACATTTCATTATAATACCTTACCTTATCCTCTTGAGCTGCCCTTTGAAATCTTCTGTTCAGCTCTTTTACTTCATCATTTCTTCCATTTGCGTTAGCTACTCTCCATTCAAGAGCAAATTTCCGAGTCTCTTCGACATCCATTTTGGTCTTCTCTTCCTTTCCTGTCTTCTTAATGACCTTTTGCTTCCTTTTTGTATGATATCCTTGATGTCATCCCATGATTCATCTGGTCTTTGGTCATTGGTGTTCAATGATCAAATCTTTTCTTCAGATGGTCTCCAAATTCAGGTGGGATATCCTTAAGGTCATATTTTGGCTCTACTTCTGCAGTGATACTACCTTGGAAATCCAAAGAGGGGTCACTGTGAATTGGATCTGACTCGACGGCAGTGATTTTGTTTTGTTTTGTTTTTAGCTACAATTTAAACTTATGAGCAGTTGATGATCTTTTCCACAGTCAGCCTTGTTCTCACTGATGATATTGAACCTCTTCATTGTCTCTTTCCACAGCTGTCGTCTATTTGATTCCTGTGTATTCCATTCTGGTGAGATCCAATATATAACTGTCATTTATGTTGTTCAAAAAAGGTATCATGCGATCTCTGGCATCATTTCTATCACCAGGGCCATATTTTCCAACTACTGATGCTGCTTCTTTGTTATCAACTTTTACATTCCAATCACCATTAATTATCAATACATCTCAATTGCATGTTTGGTCAACCTCAGACTACAGAAGTTGGTAAAAATCTTCTGTTTCTTCATCTTTGACTTCGGTTGTTGGTGCATAAAGCTGAATAATAGTAGTATTAACTAGTCTTCTTTGTAGGCATATAGGTATTATCCTATCACTGACAGCACTGTACTTCAGTAGAGACCTTCAAATATTCTTTTTGGTGATGAATATGATGTCATTCCTCTTTATTTTGTCATTCCCAGCATAGTAGACCATATGATTGTCTGATTCAAAATGGCCAATACCAGTCCATTTCAGCTCACTAATGCCCAGGATATTGATCTTTATGCATTCCTTTTCATTTTTGACAACTTCCAATTTTCCTAGATTTGTACTTCATACATTCCATGTTCTGATTATTAATGGATGTTTACAGTTGTTCTTTCTCATTTTGAGTTGTGCCACATCAGCAAATGATGCTCCTGTTAGCTTTACTCCATCTACGTCACTAAGCTGGCCTCTACTTTGAGGAGGCAACTCTTCCCCAGTTGTATTTTGAGTGCCTTCCAACCTGAGGGGCTCAATTTCTAGTACTACATCAGACAATACTTCCCTGATTTTCATTATGTTTTCAGTGGCCCTCCCCACCCCCAAAAGTGGACCTGGCCACATCCTTCTTCCTAGCCTGTCTTAGTCTGGAAGCTCTGCTGAAACCTGTCCACTATGGGTGACCCTTCTGGTATTTGAAATACTGGTGGCATAGCTTCCAGCATCACAGCAACATGCAAGCCACCACAGTACAACAAATGACAGAAGAGTGGTGGAAAGGTGACTTAGTGGCTGAAATTCCAGAACTTGGTGATATCCAATACTTCATTTCCTTCTTTCAAAAAGTATTTTTCTATTGAGAGGAGGCTGGAACCACTGATTTAAGACCATATCAGGTATAATTGCTGGGGAAAAAAAAAACTTAGATACAAGGCAGTCAAATTTTATTAGAAAACTTGAAAATGGCAATAGGTGTTCTTTTGGGAGAAAAAACAACATTGCTGCACCTACAAAAGTTAAAACGCCTTTTTCAAAAATTGCACTATGCCTCATGGTTTTATTTAATTCCATTTCTCTTGCCTTATACTAATGAAATGCTTTAAAATCATATTATTATTATTTTCCAGAATCAGATCTTTCTGATTTCATCAGAAAAGTCACAATTGGGGAAGAAATATAAACATCTGGAGAAGGAACTCTTCTCTGTTTGTTGCATTTGTTACTAACTTTAGCTAATTTGAGCTCCATTTTAGCAGACCAGGCACTTGAATTTAGAGGAATATAAGGAATTAGGAGGGGAAATACAGAAATGTATATTTGATAGACTTCCTCATAAAGTCCTCTTTCCAAGGGGTCTGTCCAGAGATGGAGAATTTTTTTTGGAATCCATGAGTAATTTCACAGGCTTCCTCCTTGTCCATCTCTCATGAGAAGCTGTACTAAACACATCCTGCTCAGTGAGATAGCAATCTCCAGAGGGAAAACTTTGTCACTTTAGTGACTACTGCTGGACCAAGACATTTGAGAGTCTCTCTGCTCCCCTTCCCCCACAGGGACACACACACACAACCAGCCACAAACTAGATGTTAAACTCAGTATCTTCAAGGAACTGTGCCAGATACGGAAATTTGGCTGAAGGGAAGGAGAGGCAGTAAGTTTCATAGTGGATTGAGTAAGGTGACCAAAGAAATGTGTATACTATATCATGGATCCTTGCTCCCATCCTTGTCTGGGAAAGCTGCCCCTGGCCACACCTCAGCCCCCCTCCAATGAGGATTTGAGAGGGAAAAACAGTGCTGAGCTCAGCTAGCTAACTTGTCCTCACCTCTTCCGTTTCAGGAGTAAATTCTTTTCTTCTGGGGGGTTGCCCAGCTCCTGGCCGAAAGGCTCCCATTGGAATATTGATATTTGCCTAAAAGAGAAAACGGAGACGATTTAGCTCAAGAAAAGAAGGAAGTTATGATGACATTCTGAGATGGTAATCATTGTGAGAAAAAAGACATCTGAAAATCACATCGTCAAAGCTTTTTATCACAGGAAAATTGCTACACTTAAAGGACAAAAATATACAAAGGAAAATTTGACTTCCATGTATTACTTTTTTTTTTCAGTGCCTATCCTTAGATCTGGGAGCTCTGGTAGCGTAGTGCCTAAGGCACTTGACTGCTAACCAGAAGGCTGGCTGTTCAAAGCCACCAGCCACTCCTGAGAAGGAAGATGGGACAATCTACTTCCGTAGTGATACTGCCTCGGAAACCCAAGGAGGGGTCACTATGAGTTGGGTCCGACTTGACGGCACATAACAACA